CTCACTGCTGTGGAGTCAGACCCAAGGCGGTATCACTATTGGAGTAGATTGCCCAGTCTTCCTTCTGAGGAGTGCCTGGTGTGTTTGAACCACCAAACCTGTTGTTAGCAGTCAAATGCTTTTTTTCCCAAATGATTTTGAGTTTTGTTCCACATTGTTCTCCCTGTCTATCCCGGATCTCCTACATAGATCGCTGTCCAAGTGGTTGACAGTGGTAGGCAGGCACCATCTAGTTCTTCTCCCTACCACCAGAACTCTTTATGAAATAAAAGAAGCATCCATAAATCTATGCTGATGTAAATTAATGAGCTAATAAATACATGGAGGAGAAAGGCTCTATTATTATATAGAGAAGCAATTAATAAACAGAACAAATGATGAGAGTTAGAAAATAACATTGCAGTAATAATTCAGCAAAGCATTCATCAACTAGTAGGTGAAAATGTGATGAGGAACCAGTGTGAAGGGCAGTCACACAGCCTTTACGTCTCTCTCCACAATCACTTATTATGAAGAGGAAAACTAACTTCACAGTGGATTAATGTAAAAAACACTAAGTGATCAAAGATAACGTCATCAGTAATGGGACAAGCCAACATCATATGCCTCCTGATATCACATCCCAAATCTCATCGTGAAGAAGCATCTTATTAACCTAAATTTAGGGACAGTCTACTCAATAACTGGCCTGCACTCTTAAAAAAAGAAAAAAATCCAAGATACGAAAGACACCAAAAGGCTGTGAGAGCTTATTCCAAATAAAAGGAAATAAAGAAACATGACAACTATAGGTAGCACAAGATTCTGGACTGGGTCCTAGACCAGGAGGGAAAAAAAAAATCTGTAAAAAACATTGCTAGGACAACTGGTGGGTTTTGTTTATCAACTGTAGACCATACTAAGCTGACTTTTCCTGATTTTGATAAATGGACTATGGTTGTTGAAAAGTCCTTGTTCTTAGGAAAAAATACACTGAAGTACTTACAGAAAGGAGACATGACGATTGCACATTGCTTTCAAATGATTCAGAAGAAAAAAAATGTACATATTTATAGAAGGCATATAGATGATGAAGCAAAGGGGGCAATACATAACAATGAGTGGGTCTGGGTAATGGGCGTATGGTAATTCTTTGTATTATTCAAACATCTTTTAAGTGTAAAATTATGTCAAAGTAAAACAATTTTAAAAACTTACAAAAACAAACCCAAAACACAGTATGAACTATAAATTCATCCTGCTGCCAAAGGACAATTCTTCCAATAGCCATTCCCTAAATAACAAAGGCTTTTGTTAGAAGGAAATCCCAAGAATAAGTTATTCAAAGAATGTTACTTTAGTGGACTTTTTTCAAGACCTAGAAGGCAGCAGGTATAGCTTGTGTCTTGTCTATCTTTAATACTATTTGAAATGCTTGCACTGTGACATCCCCACAGGACCAGACAAGTGTTTTGTTCTGTTTTGCACAGGGTCACCAAGAATCAAAGACCGACTCAAAATCAGTTCACAACAACAGTCTATGCCACTAATAATGTATTTCACCTGGCAGACTGCCAGTACTTACACAAAAAAAGAGTTTATCAGATAAATAGACTAGGACCTCAATGATACCAGCACAAAAAAAACGCATACAGGTTAAATACCTGCCACTGACCCCAACCTATGAGGTTAGTACAAAGCAAGACTCTGCCACCAAAGGGAATGGACAGGAACTTCAAGAATTACCTTTTGACACTGTGACTCCTTGATCACTCTAGACTGCCCTGGGGCTACCTTTACAAATATAAAAGGACGGAACACCTAAGATTAAGGTGTTCTCAATTATTCAAAATCACCTTAAAATGCCGGAGAGAATCTGCAATGCCAGGAGCAAGCTCCTTCTCCACCCAGCCAATCATGACTCCATCCAACAGGACAGGATAGCACTCACTGTATGGTTGGTGTGGAGCTCCATCAACTGGAGTGATCCCTGGTGAAATAAACAGAACAGAATCATATCAAATGCTTTTTTTTTTCCCCAAAAAAGCCATTTTAAATTCTCCCCAGATGAGTTCAACAACCCCTTCATCATTTTAGTTATCTTACTGGCCTTGACTCTTACGAGTATTTTTGTACTTCTTGTGTTAAGCATAAGTCATTTCTTCAAGAATATCCAAGAAACTAGAATACTGGTTCCCTATGGGGATGGTAGCTGGGGACAAGGGTATGAGGGAAACTTTTCAGTACATATCTTTTGTTTTGGTTTCTGAACCACGAATATCAAAGAGTTACAACTTACCTGCTCAGTGTTTCCTCTGTCACCCTAATATAACCACTCCTATTAAGTTAGTTAGAATGTTCTTTCTTCTTCCCTAGCACCAAAGCAAATAACCTCTCACATCTTTTTTCCTACAGTGGGATTTTTTTCCACCTCTCCTCTTTCTTCTTTCTACTCTTCTTAGAAGTAGGCATTTTTAATTACTGGTGGAAACAAAATTATTCTTTTTCTTATAGAGGATGAACCTACAAATTGCACTGATCACATCCTCTGACTCCTGCCAGGCCTTCCTTCGAAGTCAGAGGCCACACGCTAAGTGGCAGAAGTACTTTTAAAAAGAAATGTTTTGACTGTTGACTCATGGGACCTCTGGGTGTTTAAGAATCCCTATCATCCAACCCTGTGAACTTAAAGTTTTACTGTATAAACATTAATCCCACTGGATACCCTGCCCACAGATCATCAAAGACACAGAAAACTTGTGGTCTCCAGAACATAACTGGAGAATCCGTGGACTAGAAGACTGTGAATGCCCAAGGAAAGGGTGACATCTTCAAATACAAAGGTGAGCTCAATCAAGGATCAAATCTTGAAGAACTGAGAAACAGCAGCTGCAAGGCTATACCACGAACAGAGAGACTGTATCTAATGGGATCAGGGCACAGATGGGACAACCTCCCTTTAAACTGCCTTGCTGCAAGCCAACATTTCTTTCTACTTAGAGATGCAAAGGTGCACCCAACAGATGCAGAGAGTGACCCAAAATGTTACACAATAGTGTCTGCATTTCCAGTATTCACTGCTAGTCTACTTAAAATGTTTTGATATCAAGACAGAAAAGAGAAAAGCAGACACCTATAACATTTTCTTGTTTTCATTTCAAAGAATAAAAAGCAGTCCAACTGCTGCATCTAGAAGAGTCAAACACAATTCTTACAGGAATTCTCTGTGGAACCCCCAAAAGAAGCAAAACTCAGCAGTTTGTATCTGTTAAATATATATATTTAAGTTAAAGATTTGTACATCACGTACCCAAATTGCAGAGCAAGGCTGGAATAGACGTTGTATACACAAACTGCGTGACAACCTCACATACAGCAGTTAGGTGGTTCATCAAACCACAGGGCTCCCCGTCTGGGGTGTGCACGGGACAAAGGAAACCCCAGGACTCTGGCAGCAGCCTGCGTACTGTGGTGGTCCTCATCTTGGCAAAATCAGCCCCTCTGTGCACACAGCGGAAATGGGAGAGATAGCGTATGAAGTTCAGCTTGTCAGCCACAACACACAGTCCAGAATCTTGTAGGAAGCCAAGACCTTAACAAAACAAAAGGCACTCAAAAACAGGCCAAACTTTAAAAAACAATGTCTATTTTTATTTAAGGTACTGATAAGATGACAAAACCTGAGAGCATGCTACAGACCATAGAGTGGATTACTATAAAGTTTACTCTCTTAGTGCTGATAAGTGGAAACAGTTTACAAAAATAATTTAAAACCCAATACCATGGGTAGGAGGGAGGGAGGGGGAAAGGGGAAGCTTTCATTTGCTGGGCCTTGAGTCTATGCTAATGGTGGTAGAATATTTTGTTAAAGGATAGCAATAACAGGTAGCACAACATGGAAAATGTCATCAGTATCTCTGAGCTCTAAATGAGGAAGTTGTTATGTTGGCACATGTCTTCTTGTGTATGTTTTCACCACAATAAAAAAATGAAATAATTTGAAAACCAACCCAGATTTCACAAATCTATTAGTGAAGTCACTAACAGGGATAGCCTGGTTCCCTATACGTTCCACCCCACCTTTGTGGGAGAACAGTAAGTGAATAATAAAATAGCAAGTAATTAAATGGGACCCATCAAAGAAAGTTGGGTAATATACAACCACTTGTTAGCCCTAAAAGAGTCTGCATCTGTATGATCTGTAGAAAAATGCAGTTTTCTGGGTCTTCAATCATCATTTTTAAAATGTTTTCCCATAATTCTGATGCAGCTGGTTTAGAGATGGACGGTCTACCTAGGGTCCTTCCTCAAACATGTACATTGTCTTTAGTCCTCTAGAAGGGGCAAAGGTAATGTATTTGGTCAGTAGAATTGAATTTAAAGTATACAGGCACCTTTATCTTAAGCCCTTCAGATGGATACAAACTTATCAAAGTTTACAACATGAAACCTGCCTTTAATGAAAGTGAAAACTTTACTTTTAAATAGAACTCTCAGCAACAAGTAACTGTACATTAAGCAAATAATTTGAAAAACAAACTAAAATGGAGCCTATCTAATTTTACCTGTTTTAGAACGCAGATTCCCAGTAGCAAGAAGATATTCAAATGGTTTTGTAAGGTCTGATCCCAGATTAAAAATCTTCATCAAATTTTCATTGTTTATGGACACATTAGTCTTCTGAGCTCTCTTGTCTATAGCTATTTTAATAGACACTAACCAAGCTTCCATTTTCTCCTGCAGTAAGAAACAAAATTAAGGTAGAAATATTAAGTGTTTTAATTAGCACAAGATTCCTATTTACTCTGAGATAATCAGTGCAATTCATAGCAAAGACCTACTAATTTATACATCAGACATAGAAAACAACTACATTATTAACCTGAAGAAAGCTTCTCAACGTCCTACTACAGGTCAGGTTATTTCTTATGACAAAACACCAACACCCTAGACCAGGATTTTCCAATTTTGGCAGTTCTCTGGGTTGGACGTTCTTTGTCGTGAGAGGCTGTCCTAAGTAAGCATCATAGGATGTTTAACAGCATCCCTGGCCTCTACTAAATGCCAGTAGCACTCCCATGTTGTGACAACCAAAAATGGCTCCAGATGTTGTCAAATGTCCCTAAGGGAGGAGGGCAGTGGTAGGGGCAAAACTACCTCCAATTGAGAATAATGCTCTAGATTATCCACATTAATGGAAAGAGTCAAAGCTTGCTTGCTTTGATCTTGGTAAAGTTTTTCATTTAAACACTCTACCAAGCAGCAGAATATCTTCAACCCTAGAAGCAAGCAACAGTAGCAATAAAAAAGCTTGTGTTTCCAAGAACAAAAATAAGCAAGGAGAGCTCAAAGTTCCAAATTAGATCCAACATACAGGACATGTGACAAACTAGTAGGAAAGACCGATACTTTCTTCTTATATAGAATCTGAAACATAATGGAAAGGGAAAAGAAGATGAGAGACAGAAAAGAGAGAAAAAGAGATGTAAGCAAAAGCTCTGTAATTGACTTAAGAAGAGGCTGGAAGATCTTTGTCAGGGGTCCACTGTCTCTTTGTAGTTAACGTGCTAATTAGACAAGGACCTAGCACTTACTGGGCACATACTATGAGCTGGTACAATGCACGTTTAAGCCTCACAGTAAACTTTTTTTCTTTGACAAATGAGAAAACAGAGGCTCAGAACAGATAAATGACTCATCCAGTTAACAGATTCTCAGGATAAGAATACAAATGTAGGAATGACTCCAAAGCCCAGGTTCTTCCCGATATACCATAATGTCTTCACAAGGCCAGAAGACACAGAAAATGTCAATGTGTAGGGATGGGGGAATAAAGATCAAAATCAAAGGAACCACAGTCAAAGCACAAATAGGACGGCATAGTGGGGGACAGAATGGGCTTACACTCAAGTCTCTTAATATCCCACTGTACTGGACAGTAAGTCATATTAAGGTTAAAAGTATCTAAAATTTATGGGGAATAGTGCATTATAGAACCAGTGAAAACCCTTGGGTCATATCTATTTCAGCATTAAATTTTTTTCAGACTCTAGAAAGGTAAGTGGTACATGAACCATGAATTACTTAGTACTCACGATTGACTGAGGCCTTGGCTTATAATCAAATTCATTTCTACAGTGAAACAGTCTAAGCAAAATTACATTAAGGTGATAAATAGCCTCCTGTCAGTTCAGGTCAGTTTTCCTGCCATGTCCTACTTTCTTTTGAGTTCTAGCACTTTTGGGAGCAGAGCTTGCAGAACAGTGGTGTGGACCTCTATGCACAGCCTGTGCACGTGCAGGTGTAAGCAGAACAGCAAGCCCACTAAGAAGTTTTCTTAGAAAGTTCACCAGCCTTTCTCGCAAAAGGTGGAAGAACGTAAGATTGTGCTCATCTGAAGAGATAAACAGGTAATGCCAATAACAAAGAGGGGACAACATCACGGAAAATGATGAACTGCATCTACCTTACATTATAAAAAGTTCAGAAAGGGTAGCTCTTCAGTGTCTCTCACCCACCTAACCCTTGTGAAGTAGCCCTCAGAACCAAGCAGACAAATCATGCAGGACACCTCAATCTGTTGCAACACTCAGTGAAATGACTAAAAGAGTGGAATTCATAGTGTGCCACTGTCATTATCTTCTGAAGACTTTTTCATGTTCCAAATCCAGAGATTTTTATTTATTTATTTAATTATTTTAATTTTATTTTGATTTAGGTGAAGATTTACAGAGTAAATTCACTTTTCATACAGCAGTTCACATATACTTTGTCTCATGTCATTGACCACAATTTACAATGCAACAGCTCCCCTCCCACTTCCTCCCCATAGTTACCTCTTCCCAGTGTCCATCCCTCCATACTCTCCTGCGCCCTGAGCTGTCTCCCTGTGCATAAGCAGCCCTTCCTTCTCCCATGATTGTTCTCTCCAGGGTGTGTGTCTACTTGAGGTAAATGTTTAACTCACTTGCCTGTACTTTGTTTGGCTGGAAACCACAGGTGTGGGTTCAATTCCAGACCTGAAGGGCAGCTAGGGGCCACAGTCTCAGTGGTTCCACCAGGCTCTATTGGACCAGCAAACCTGGTCCCCACCTTCTTTTTTTTTTTGCCTCCAAATGATTTTGAGTTTTGTTCCACATTGTTCTCCCTCTCTATCCAGGATCTCCTACATCCCTTCCAAGTGGATGACAGTGGTAGCCGGGCACCATCTAGTTCTGGTCTCATAGTTGTATAGGTTGCAGATCAGATGGTGTACCAGTCGCTAGGACTGATTGTTTCCATTCATTTTGGTTTTCTTCTTTCTTCTTGACGAGGAGAGACCCATTGTTGCATCTAGATGGCAGCTTGCTAGCTTTTAAGATCCCAGTCGCTACCCACCAAAGTAGGAGATGGAACAATGTTTTGTATAGTATGTTATGCCAATTGAGCTTGATGTCCCCTGCGACTATGGTCCCAAGCCCGCAGGATCAACTACTCGGTCACTCTGGGTAGCTGGCTGTGACCAAACAATGACCATAACCTTGCCCCCTGTCAGCTCTACTATACACCTGGGAATTCTGATCACTCACATAAACTTATAGGACCATTGTCTGCCAACTATATATATGATCTTGGATACACTTCCCTTTAGACATACCTAATTGTTTAGCCTGTCCACCTATCTATCCGTCCATATACCCGTTTGCCTTCACTGACAACTCAGTACCAAATCCAGAGATTTCAAAGTTTAAATATAACCAGTGAAAAGGTAAGGAAATCAGATACTTTCAGGCACTGAATTCTCTGAAAAATCCCAGTTTTCCCATTGCTGAAACAGGTCCCCTGAGTACAGTAATGCCTGGCTATTTAACATACATTTCCAACACTGCAGGGGTCAATGAAACCACCACAACCCAGTTGAAGTAGAGGGCAAGCAGAAATTAGCCTTTACCTGCAAGGCTACTGGAACTACAAATAACCTAACACTTCTGCCGCCCGATTTCATTTTTTTTTATCAGGGAAATTCTAGGCTGCTGAAATTTTTCAATCTTATTTTTATAGATAGAGCAGAGAGAAACAAAAGAAAGAATTTAAGAATTACTAATTAGAAAAGGAAGTACAAGATATTTACTTCATCTCCATCCTGCTATGCTACCTCATAGATGAAGTCATTTTTAAGATTAGTATTCAAAATATCAAATGCCAATGAGCCAGCTTAGCTATAAAATATTTGTATCACACCGACTTTCTCTCACTACGTATCTATATGGTTCTATCATTAATGTTATTACCAAGATCTGATGTTGTCTTTAGTTAGACCATATAAAAATACTAAAGATTTTTTTTAACTCTTTAACATAGAATCTTTGATTAAGGTTTTTATTGCTAAACAAGCAGACAGACAGACCACATATGATTCTAAAACTAGAAATTATAAACACGCACAAAGAAAATACCACTGCTTATCGATCGGGTCACGCCATTCCACAAGTGGTAACTGGGCCAGGGTGAAAGCAGCATGCATTTACCTTTAGAAACATAAGGAAGAGCTGACCAGGTGTAAGGACTTCTTGATTCATTAAACTATCAGGATTCTCCTCCATGCACTCTCCTTTGGCTAAAGCAAAGAGTTTCCGGGTCATGAGACACAGCATATAAAACTTTTCAGTATTGGAATTTAAGTGGATACAGATGCATTGGCTGTCAAAATAGAAAAAGCTTAAAGTAATTAAGCTGTTGATATAATAACTGATATGCTATTAACCAAGGCTCCTAAATTATGCTTACTTAAACTAATAATTCTAACTCATTTTCTGAACATTGCCTTTTACCTTTACTGGCAAGGTTAGCAAAAGAAGAGAATATAGTTACAAGGCTTAGAGCTTACTGTCCAACATGACAATAACAAGCCACAAGTGTCTACTGAAATTAATTAAAAGGAAATAAAAAATTCTGTTCCTCTGTTGCAATGGCCGCAGTTCAACTGTTCAACATATAGCTAGTGGCTACCATACTGGACAGCACTGTTGTACAGCAGGACTTCTTTAATAATTACACAGTGGTGCTGTATGAGAAAGTCCTTGCTTTGGGGAAATAAAGGGCTATGATGATTGCAATTTTCTCTCAAACGGTGCAGGAAAAAAGGTATTAACTATATATAGAGAAAGTGATAAAGAAAATGTAATAAAATCCTAACAATTAGTGAAGGTATATGAAATGTTCAATGTTCAGTGACTGTAGGTGTTCTATTTTTGCAGCTCTTCTACAAGTTTGACATTAGTTCAAAATAAAGGTACAATTTAAAAAACAAACGAACAAAACTGCAATAAAATGAGAGAAAATTAAGGATGGCCACAAGCACAAAGCTAGCCATGAGGAGCCAGGATCAGAATTTTACCCCAAGGTTCATTCTGTCAGACTATCCTAACTGTAATCAATTCAAAGAACCACAGCAACTCCCTTCCCCGAGAAAAAAAGCACACATACTCAAACAGAAACTCTGCTGCTTGTTCATTGGGGTACCATTCAGGAAGATTGAGCTTTACTCTGAAGCATTCACCTAGATAGTTAAGGACCTGTTTTTGTGTGGAACAGCCCTCTTCTGTTACAATCCTTATCATCTGAGAAACAGAGTTCCTAAAAAAAGAGTCATCTTCTTTTCCTTTGATGAGCTCCTGGAAAATCTGATAATCAGAAAAACTGACCAGTGCCTAGAACAGAGGAAAAATAAATTTTCTTTTTAGTTGTTCATTAATAATAACCATTTTGTTTAGGAACATTTCTCTCCTATGTATGTATTTTTAATACTCAAGAAAAACTAGCACTCCAAAATAAAATTAAAAAAAAAGAAAAACTAGCACTCCATTATTGCTGACTTGAAGTAAACGCTTCAAAATAAGGAACCACTTGCGCGACAGCCAGACATCAAGGTGGCCCCCAATGATCCTCACCGCCTGGTATTCACAACCTTGCCTGGCCTATGTGACCAAGAGAATATGGTGAAAAAGATGATGTGAGACTTCAAGGCTCGGTCACAAGAGCAGTGCAGCTTCTACCTTGTTCCCTGGGTTAACTGCCTAGAGAAGAACAGTCTCAAGCAGCCTGTGGAAAGGGCCATGTGAAAAACTGAGACCTCCCTCCAGTGGCCAGCAATGACTCGCTAACCACATACGTGAATGAATCACCTTGAGGTGTGTCCTCCAGCCTTGGTGAAGCCTTCCAAATGACTGCAGCCCCTACTGACAGCACAGTGTAACCTCACGAGTCCCTGGGCCAGACCTCTAAGCCAGGCCGCCCCCAAATTCCTGACCCACAGAAACTGTATGGGATCAAAGTTTGTAGACGTTTCAATCCACTGAATTTTACGGTAGTTTGTTATGGAGCAGATCTAGTACAGCATGCACTTTAATAAGGAGAATCCATCCAACCTGCACAGGATTCTGTCTCCAAATAGAATCTCTTCACTACATCATACCTTCAGTGCAAATCCCAAAGGAAGAAAAAACAGTTCTTTTCTGTAAATGAAGTTCAACATAACTGTGCCATTTTCCACATAGTGAAGGTTCATATTGACAGCAGAATGTTCTTCCCTCACACAGTGCATTGAAACTCCTATTTAAACAAATAAGACCATAAATCAGAAACTCAGTGATACTATAATGGCTTCAATTATTATTTTTATGATATTTTTCAATATTCAAATATTATTTTCATAATTTTTCCTTTTTGGAAAAATTAAAGCCAAATCTCTTAAGTTTAGCAAGACTGGCAACCAAAAAATGTGTACAGATATTGCAAAATGTCCCAAGGGACAAAAATTTCCACAGTTGAGAAACACTGATATAAAGTAACTAAATACCAAAACCAAATCCACTGCAATCAAGTCAATTCTGACTCACAGTAACCATACAAGACAGAGTAGAACTGTCCCATAGGGTTTCCAAGGCTGTAAATCTTCATGGAACCAGACTGCCTCATCTTTCTCCTATGGCGCAGCTGGTGGGTTCAAACCACCAACCTTTTGGTTAGCAGTCAAATGCCTTAACTACTGTACCACCAGAGCTCCTTAAAAAGTAAATGTACCTATGAATTTAACCAGATTTCAAAGTTTCCCTGAAGAACACAGATCACGTTTCACAGCATTTTAAACCTCTAACACCTGCAAAGCTAGGCATATAGCACTTGATATCCCAGCCTTCTGTGGAGTCTGGTGAAGAGATGGTGACTTGTTCAAATAGTTCAAATGGAGAAAAGCAAAATTTTAGATTTCTTTCAGCTTCAGACAAGGACACTAAGACATACTGCATTATTGTTGTTATATGCCGTGTAGTCGGACCTGACTCATTGAGACCCCTCCTGGGGTTTCTGAAGCAGTACTCTACGGAAGTAGATTGCCCCATCTTCCTTCCGAGGAGTGGCTGGTGGATTTGAACTGCTAGCCTTCTGGTTAGCAGTCAAGTGCCTTAGGCACTATACTACCAGAGCTCCCTACTGCATTAACAGATACAAAAGAATAAGTAATATTTTGACTGATGAGATGCTGTTATTTTAGGAATAATATGTATGTTATTTTAGGAATAATATGTATGGCTACAATTAGAAGCTAATTTTTAACTCAATTTTATGGTCTAAATTGTTTCATTGTAGTGGTTGTCTAAGAACACAGCATACTGTCTTGTGAAGCCAGGTGCTGTCACAAGGAGTGCTCAAACAGAGGCCAGGGGGCTGCCAGCTAGAGACCCCAGGAGAATACCATGACAGCCTGAATCAGAAGACTTCTGAGGCCTACGCCCACCTCTAGCCATGTCAGGCCAGCCTTCATCTTATACTAAGCAACGGACATACCTGTGCTCTCTCAGTCTGAAAAAATGGAAGATAATAGAAAGTAAGCTTCCCACCAAGAAAATACAAAAATATTTAACAGAAAAGCAAAAAATATTATTCATAACAGAAAAACATCATTAAAAAAAAAAAAAAAAGAAAAAAACCTATAAAGTGGTTTTGAAATTTTCTTAAAAAGAAACCAAACTGTCAATAATCACCAGAACTCACCATAATGAGTATAGCCAGGGCCTCTACTTTTCCATTTTGGTCTTATCATTGCGATGGGGAAATTTCTCCGAGGCATAATCAACATTCGGATGACTTTTTCAATGCCATTGATTATAAAGTAACCTCCCATTTCCTGCCAAAGAGATGAATGATAGTTTGTTAAACAAAAAAGGGAAAACAAAGACACATTACTAACTGTAAGCTTTAACCTTATTCCTAGCCAGAGGTAGTACAATATGCAGAAGTAGTACACACAAGTAAAAGGGACCACTGACCCCATGGAAACAGCATTCTCTCTGTGTGTAAATTAAGTCTCCTCAAGAACATTAAGAAGGTTCTATGGGTGGTGCAGTTTGCATTTGACTAATAACCTAAAGGCTGGCAGTTTGAACCCATTGCATTATGCTGTCAAAGAAAGGTATTGTGATCTGCTTCCCTAAAAATTATTGCCAAACATACAGTACTGGGTTGTCAGTGATGGCAAACATTGATCTACAGGTGGATAGATGGGTGGACAGGCTGAACTATTAGGTATGTCTATGCAGGGGGGAGTGTGCCCATGACCATATACAGGGTTGGCCGACAATGTTTCTGCAAGTGTATTTGTATGTTGTATAAGAATTTCTAAGTATAGTGTTGTATGAAAGGAGAGAAGGTTAGCACTCCCCTTGACAAGGATGGAAGAGGCCCTTGGGCCTTACAACACGCATACGGTTAAGGCATT